GCGTTTTCTCTTTTCTCGCGTGGTCCCATTTTCGTTTCAGCGGATCAGGGCGCCAACAGCGTTTATTTACTCGCTTCGGCACAAGGCGTGTGACCCTATGAGAGACAGCCGTGTTCTAATCGACCACTTGCTCATGCAGCGAGAAGTCGCTGTCGCTCTCATCATCCGCTGCGCTCTCATCATCCGCTGCCGGCCCCGCTGCAGCCTCCACCCCCGCCCCCGCCTCCGCCTCCGCCCCCGCCCCCGCCCCCGCCGCCTCCGCCCCCGCCGCCGCCAGCCGCGCCGCTGCCGCTCGGAGCCGCGGCGGCGGCGGTGATGCACTACTCGTCCAGTGGATTAGCGTACGTGGGAGGGATGCTGGCAGTGGGCTCGGAGGGGGAGACCACGGACGAGGGCGAGGAGGGGAGCGAGGACGAGGTTGAGGTGGAGGCGGCGCTGGAGGCAGCAGCGGGGCCGGCAGCGGATGATGAGAGCGCAGCGGATGATGAGAGCGACAGCGACTTCTCGCTGCATGAGCAAGTGGTCGATTAGAACACGGCTGTCTCTCATAGGGTCACACGCCTTGTGCCGAAGCGAGTAAATAAACGCTGTTGGCGCCCTGATCCGCTGAAACGAAAATGGGACCACGCGAGAAAAGAGAAAACGCGCAATGTCGCAAGAACTCACGCTCTCAGTCTCGCAGCGTGCGTCGCACCGCAGGTCGCAGCGCCGCGCCCCAACGCCCAAGGGGCCAAGCCCAACAGCAACACAGAGACGAGAGAGCCAGCCAGCATCCGAGACGCGAGAGCGACGGAGAGCATGCACCAGCGAGCAGCGTGGATGTGACCGTGCATCACACGGGTGAGGCTAACCCAACGTCGCCGCCGCAACGCCGCGACACAGCCGTCAGCCGAGCCCGTCGGTGCCCCCGACGTGCCACACCTCGACATACGACATGACGCCACAGCGCCACAGCTGTCTCCTAGTGGGTGTGTCGTGGACTGGTCGCCTTACGACGGAGGCACAGCCCGGGGCCAATACTGTAACGAGCATACGCGAGCATTTGTGCCAGGAACCCCATACTAATCCACGCTCGCTGCACTGGGTAAGACGCTCAGTTGCCTCCCCACCTCAGCCCCGAGCCAAGTGCTGCCCGTGGGAGGCGAGGCGCGTTCCCCCGGGACAGCAATCTCGCCCCACGAGACAACTGTCCGCGCCGGCGTCGGGCCCGACGCGTCTCCGCCCCGCCCGACGTTCGCCGCCTGTGCCGACGCCCTCGGTGAAGGCAGGTCGTCGCTGCTATCGCCGCCTCCTGGCGCTGCGTATCGCCCGCCGCCTGCCTCTCCGCAGCTGGTGCTAAAGAGTGCCTCTTTGTGGGGTGCGGAGACGCCGCGCACCGCCGGTCTGGAGGAGGGCTCAGCCACTGCGAGGGTCCTCGTCGGTCGGCTGTTCCCTCTGATTTTGGACCTTGATGAGCGCCAGCTATCCTCCTCGGAGTCGGAGTCGGAAGACGACGCGTCAGATTCCTCATTGCCATTCTTGTTGGCATAGAGCATGCCACGGCCGCGCCCGCGCCCGAGGCTGCGAGATGGTGCGACGGGCACATTACTCGGAAGCAGTTGGGGTTCTTGCGCGTCGCCGTCGTTTTGCGATGGCGGCGAGGTTGGCGAGGTCGGCAGAGAGGCAGGTGGAGTTGGCGGGGACTCGTACGAGGATGGAAGCGAGGATCGGACCTCGCGAAAGATGGCCTCCATCCGACTGCTAAGCGACTCGTCGCGGAGGATGTTGTACCCGCTGGGCGGTGCCGATCCTGCCACCTCTGAAGCGAACTCTGACGCCGTTGCCTCCTCCGAAGCGAACTTGGGCGAGGCGGCCTCCAGCACCGCCCATCGCTCGCGACAAACTTCAGCGTCAATGCCGAGTTCTCTGGCCGCCTGCGGAACAAACGCTCTTCTCATACCGTGCGCGCGGTCCCAGTGCGGGTGGTGTGGTCGGGTGCGTGGCGTGTACGTTGCCACCTTGTCGAAATCGAAGTAGTGTCGCCGCACCGCTAGCGCAAGCCGCTCGGCATTGTCGCAAACGCCTAGGTTCGGCAGTTTTGTCGGCACAGCCAGTGCGACCAGCAGATCGTCCGCCTCGGTCGGAACGCCCATCGGATGTGTGACTGTGCGATGACGTTACGGCTAACGGACGGCCGCGACGGCGTGAATACAAAGAGTGAAGAAACTGGCGCGCGGCGGCGGCTGCGGCGACGCCTTCGCCGCCGGCTTCCTCTTCGGCTGGTGCGGGTCTCGAGACGTGCAGCGCGGGCTGGTGTACGGCTGCGCGTGCGGCGCCGCCGCGGTCGGCATCACAGGCGGGTACCTGTCCCGATCCCTCGCCCCGACCCTGCTCCCAACCCTCACCCTCGCCCTCACCCCTCACCCTCATCCTCACCCCTCACCCGCACCCTCGCCCTCACCCTCACCCTCATCCTCACCCTCACCCTCGCCCTCACCCCTCGCCCTCACCCTCACCCTCATCCTCACCCTCACCCTCGCCCTCACCCCTCGCCCTCACCCTCACCCTCACCCTCACCCTCACCCTCGCCCTCACCCCTCGCCCTCATCGGCGCCACCAGGCGGGTCCGAGCCTCTCAGGACTCAGCGCCACGTCTGAGGGAACTAGGAACGCGTCTACCAAACATACGCGACATACCCTTACGAGACTTTGAAGAGTACAATGTATGCCTGAAGGCGCGACAGGCGAGTGAGGCACTCTCTCTCTGCGATCAGGCGCTTGGGTGCTCGCGCAGCCACTTGGCCGCATCGTCGCGGCAAGCTTGGCTGGTGTCTGTGGTCGAGCAGCCCTGCATCTTGCGAAACCAGCGAGCAGTCTGCTTGTCGTCCTTCTTGAGGCCCCACTTCTCATGTCGGTGACCCCAGCCACTCAGATAGCAGGCGTGCTCCGACCCTAGCCCGCAGGCCGTGCCGAGAAGGAGCAGCCCTCGCGCGGTGTCGCGCGCGACGCCCTTTCCACCGAGTAAGGCCCGTGCGCACTTAATTAGCGGATCCGGTTCGTCCAGCTCCGCCGCCCGCTCAAACCACTCGAAGGCCTGCTTCGGGTCCACCGCCAGTCCCTTCTGCCCGTCCCTGTACCAATAGCCGATTTGCGTCATTGCGCCACTGTCGCCGCCCTCCGCCTTGCGCCGCGTCTCCGCCACCATCTTCCCGTCCTTGATCCGCTTCTGCCACGCCGCCGCCTTGTCGCCGCCAATCGCGCCGCTCTTGACCATGCGCTCGATGTTGTTGCGGACCTGCACCGCCGGCAGGAGCCGCGCGCCCATCGGCTCGTTGGTGATCGGCGACTTGAGCGCCTCCGCGCTGCGCCCTCTGATGTGCGCCTCGATGGCGCTGCGCTCGTAGACGCGCCCATCCTCCGCCGTCACCGGGTCGACCGGAAGCTCCTGCGTGATTGGGCAGACGAGTTCCTCGGCCATCTCGTCGATGGCGCTGCGGAAGCGCGTGTTCTCCTCCCGCGTCGCCGTGTCGGCGGCCGCACGCTTGCGTGGCGGCATGGCAGCGAGAAGGTGCTGGAGACCCGCTCCGATTTCTTTGATTGCACTCTCCTATCCCCTTCGCAATCTGCATCATCCCCAGGGCCTCCAGGGCTCGCACCTCAACCTCTCATAGACCAGCGCAAAGCGCCATAGGACGTATTTTCTTGTCAATAACAAGGTCTATGTATGTATGTAGGAAGAGGGCCCAACTTCAGCTATGTTTTTAGCAATACCTTTATGTGATGTTACAGGTGGGTTAAGAGGGAGATGTGCGCGAGCTGCGGGACCGCCGGGACGGCGGGCGGGTGATTGCGACACGCCGCCACTTTTGGCGACTTTTGGGACGCGCGTCGATCGGCCGAGATTCGGCATGGCAGGCGAGGGTGTCACGGCCATGATCGTGGCTGCTGACGCCGGCGACAACCCGCTGGCGGACCGCCGCGAGGACCGGAAGGCGGCGGCAGAGCGGGAGAGGAAGGCCAAGGTGGCGAAGGTCGCCTCGCAGGCGACGAACGCGATGGCGGCAGTGCGGGCGCAGCTCGATTTGCGGGAGAAGGGGGCAGCAGACAAGGCGGCGAACAAAGCCAACGACGACGCGGGGGCGCCGGTGAGGGCGTCGTCTACGATGCTCGAACGAGTGTTCGCTGCCCGCCTCGACGGTCCGGACAAATACGTTGTGGCTCGACGAAAGGAGCGAACAATACCAAACAACTCTAACACTCACACGTCATTTGGGGCCTGGAGCCCTGTTCACGCGCGCGCGAGACGTGCAGACAGGGTTGCCAGGTGAGAGCGAATGGCGCGGTTCACGCCTCGCACAACAGAGAGAGAGATGCGCTCTGCATGGTGGGACATAAAGAGAGCGAGTACTTGGGCGAGTAGGCTGTGCGGTCAACGCTGCCGCGCGCGACTTTGCGCGCGAGGCGGCGCAGCTTGAGAACGGCGGTGGGCGAGAAGCCGCCGCCGAACGTCTCGTGGAGCAGCAGGTTGAAGTTGTTGCGCTTGACAAAGATCGCGTCGTGGTAGAAACCGCGATGCGCGCCTTGACGTAGCCGTGGCCGGTCTTGTGGGAGAAGGGTTGGCCGGGCTGCCCGCGCGCCTTGCAGCCCATGTTTAGGCGGCGGGCCTTCTCTTCGGTGCTGCCAAAGGCGTAGGAGTGGCCAACGGAGGCGGGCGTGCCGCCACTCGAGGCGTTGCCAACGCCCGGCGAGGAGGTCTTGACAATACCAAACAACTCTAACACGCACACGTAATTTGGGGCCTGGAGCCCTGTTCACGCGCGCGCGAGACGTGCAGACAGGGTTGCCAGGTGAGAGCGAATGGCGCGGTTCACGCCTCGCACAACAGAGAGAGAGATGCGCTCTGCATGGTCCATGGTGGGACATAAAAGAAAGGGAGTACTTGGGCGAGTAGGCTGTGCGGTCAACGCTGCCGCGCGCGACTTTGCGCGCGAGGCGGCGCAGCTTGAGAACGGCGGTTTGTCAACTTCAGAATCGTGCTTTTTTTTGGTTGTTTTGCTTTTTTGCATTTTGGGTTAGGGACGAGCGCGAAGGACCGATTGCGGTGAAGGACCGCAGGTTAGGGACCGATCGCCGCCGCTCACGCCAGCGGACGGTCGTCGTCAGTGATGTTAGCTACGCCACCGTCTACCTCGTGCGACATGCGCTCGCCCGCATCGAGCGAGCAACGTGTTCGACCGAGCGGCTTGCTGTGCGGACGGCTTCTTGTGGCTCTCGTCGAGAGCGTTTTCCTGGGGAGTCGACGGGCCCCCGGGGGCGACGGGGGTGCTCTCCGGCCGCGGCGGCCGAAAACGGGGGTCTATGTTACGGTATGTTAATGAAGTGATGCACTTGATGCAAGGGTGCCATTGTGCTCTACTATAAAAGTTGTGTCAGATGCCCAAGTCTCAGACACTGAATCCTTAGCGGAGCTGAGTTCTGATATGCGGCATAGACGGTGTGAAGCCAGCGCACAGCGCCATAGGAGGTATTTTCTTCTCAATAACAAGGCTGTGAACACGAGCAACCGGAGTGACGACGGGACCGGGCCGATGTCAGCCGACCACACTGTCTTCAAGGCTGTGCGCTTAAACGACAGTGCTGCACTTCGCTCGCTGCACGCGCTTGGAGCGGCGGCGAGCCTCTCGGCGGCGACTGGAAATGGGCACACTCCCGCTCACGCCGCCGCATCATACGGCCACGCCGACTGCCTGCGGGCGCTGCATTCGCTTGGGGCGGCGGCGAGCCTCTCGGCGGCGGCTGCGAACGGGCGCACTCCCGCTCACGAGGCCGCATCAAACGGCCACGCCGACTGCCTGCGGACCCTGCACGCGCTTGGAGCGGCGGCGAGCCTCTCGGCGGCGGCTGCGAACGGGCGCACTCCCGCTCACGCCGCCGCATCATACGGCCACGTCGACTGCTTGCGGACCCTGCACGCGCTTGGAGCGGCGGCGAGCCTCTCGGCGGCGGCTGCGAACGGGCGCACTCCTGCTCACACCGCCGCATCAAACGGCCACGCCGACTGCCTGCGGACCCTGCACGCGCTTGGAGCGGCGGCGAGCCTCTCGGCGGCGACTGCTGAGGGGCGCACGCCTGCTTACCTCGCAGCAACATACGGCCACGTCGACTGCTTGCGGGCGTTGCACGCGCTTGGAGCGGCGGCGAGCCTCTCGGCGGCGGCTGCGAACGGGATCACTCCCGCTCACGCCGCCGCAACAGACGGCCACGCCGACTGCCTGCGGGCGTTGCACGCGCTTGGAGCGGCGGCGAGCCTCTCGGCGGCGGCTGCGAACGGGATCACTCCCGCTCACCTCGCAGCATCAAACGGCCACGTCGACTGCTTGCGGGCGTTGCACGCGATCCTCACCGAAAGCATCACGCCGCTCCTCGCCCAACTGATTGAGTTTACGTCGCCGGATTCGACCGGTCTGCCAGGGATCATCGCCGAGCTTGAGGCGAAGCGGTCTCTCTCGTGGGGCCTCGGCGATGTCATGACACCGGCCGAAGTCGCCACACGACGTGGCCACGAGATTTGCCTTGTGTTTCTTGCGTCCATCGGAGGCGCAGCCCGCTTCTGGGCCGACCTTGTCGAGTCGCCCGAACGGATCCAGTCCTCGGACTTCGAGGTCGACTTGCTCTCCAAGCCCTCGCTGCTCAACCTTCCCGCCAAGCGCGCTTGGCTCCATGAGCGCCTGGCGGCGGTGGTGGGCGACGCTGATGCTGCGGCGCTCTCGCTCGTGGCCCACCACGACAACATCACGGACGGCCTCTGCGCGCAGCTGGGCGTCGACGAGACCACCGGCGGCTTGCTGGATGGGACGGTCCCGCGGCGTCTGGACGTGACGTACGAGGGCGAGGGTGCCGGCGGCGACGGGCTACGGCGCGCGTGGTTCAGCGAGGTGACGAAGGAAATGGGGGACCGGGACTTTGGTCTCTTCTCTACGGCCGGTGAGCAAACGCTGCAGCCCAACCCCAACTCGGCCGCGTACCAGTCGGACCACCTCGCGCACTTTGCGCTGCTCGGCCGCATCGCCGGCCTGGCCCTCTACCACCAAGAGCCGCTCGACCTTCCGTTCTCACCCGCCTTCCTCTACGTGGCGTTTGGGTACGATATCGCCTTTGACGACCTCGCGACCTTTGCCCCCGACGTGTACTCGTCGCTGAAGAAGCTGCTCGCCATGTCGGCCGACGAGCTCGAGACAATGTGCCTGAACTTCGAGGTCCAACGTCTCGGATGTAGGATACTGCCCCAGGTTGTTTGGGATGACGCCCCCCCCCCCCCCCCCCTCCCCCACCCCCCGCAGGTGGACGGCGAGGAGGCGCTCGTCTACGAGGATTCGTCCAAGCGGCGGCGCGCCACTGAGCTCAAGCCGGGAGGGGCGGACGAGCCGGTCACCGTGGCCAACGTCAAGGAGTACCTGCGGCTGTATGCGCGGCACCGGCTCCTCGGTGCCATCGAGCCGCAGGTTCGCGCCTTCCGCGCTGGTCTGGGCGTCTTCTTCAAGGAGGAGATACTGTCCAACCTCCGCACGTGCTGCTCGGTCGCCGAGATCCAGCTGCTGCTCTGCGGCGCCGCCGCAATCGACGTCGACGACTGGAAGGGCTCCACACTCTACGATCCGCCTGAGTACGAGCGATCGAGCACGGTGACATGGCTCTGGAAGGCGGTGCGCGAGATGACTCTCGAGGAGCGCGCGCAGCTCCTCTTCTTCGCCACCGGCTCGACGCGGCCTCCCGCCACCGGCTTCGCGCACCTCATGGGCTACAGCGGCGAGAACCTGCCATCGGAGCAGCCCTTCACGGTGACGCGTGCCGCGGCCGCCGGGCGGCTGCCAACGGCGTCAACTTGCTTCAACCAGCTCTATCTGCCGGAGTTCGACAGCGAGGCGCAGCTGCTGAGGATGCTGCGGATCGCGCTGACCGAGAACCAGGGCTTCTCCGAGGCGGCGGTGATGGCGTAGGGCTAGGGGGAGGATCTGCCGTATCGGCTAGAATATGCTTGTTTGCGGTCTCAGGGTCGGGGTTAGGGTCGCGAAGCGCAGTGAAACCGCCCCCTTCCCAACCCTCTCAGGGACGGACGCATTTCCCCCCTTTCAAAGGCGGTTTCGAAGTTGATGAGACCTCGTCCCCCCCTCTCCAATGAAAAGCGTAAAAAGAGGCGCGGAACAGGCCGGAAGCGCCGCTTGGACGTGGGTCACACAATGCGGCAGCGCTCCAGACGCGCTCTGGTAGCTGCCAATGAAGCTGCAGCCCATCGCGCGCGCGCCGGACGGCCTCTGCACCTCTACTGCAGTGCCCTCCTGCACCGAGCGACGCGTCAAATCTTTGTTGCTGCCCATGACCGGCGGCGGCTCCGAGCTGTGAATAGCAGGCGTGGTCTCTACTCGCCAGGGTTGATCAACCGTACGCAAACAAAGAAAAAATCGATCGCGCGCGTCCCGCCGCAGCTCTCTCGCGTACAAGCTCTCTGCCGGCTCGTCCAGCCGCATGTGCCACGCGCACCATGCGCACTGCAGCCGCAGCTGCGTCCGCCGCTCCGGAGGCGCGATGCGGAGCGCGCCTGGGAAGGACGGCCGAGATGTAGCGAGATATGGCCGAGATATAGATGGCCGAGCATGGCCGAGCTATGGCCGAGCTATGGCCGAGCTATGGCCGAAGGAGAGCGCGTTGAAAGGAGGGCGCTGCGTCGGCGTACCTCCCTTCCGCGCACTCGAGCTTGCCGAGCTCATGCAGTGCGACGAGCCATTCGTGCTTGTAGAGGTCGTGCATGGTCCCCTCCTCAGAAAGGCCCGCCGGGAAAGGCAGCCCCTCGCCAGCCCTCTCGTGGTAGCCGCCGAGCACGCTCGTCAGGGTGGCGCGGGCCTGAGATAGAGCGAGATGTGGCCGAGATATGGGGAGATGTCGGGAGTTAAGGGGAGATATGGCTCGTCAGGGTGGCGCGGGCCTCCTCCGCCTCACCGCGCGCGGCCTGCGCCAGGGCCAAGTCTAGCTTCAGCCAGAGGAACGCCTCGGACAGCTGAGACTCGTGCGGCGACTCGTGCGCGGTCTGCCGCTCGGAGTCGGCGTCGATGGCGCGGCTCGGCGCCGCCCCTCGCGCCACTGCCTCCCGTCCGCCCTCCTCCTCCTCCGAGCCACCGCACCCCGCCAGCGGCGCCTTCTTCGCTGCGCCGCTTCGTCGCTGCTGGAGGACCGAGTCGCAGAAACGCCGACTTGAGTCCGAGATGCCCTCGGCAGTCCCCAAGATTTTTGAATACGTTCTGTCTCTCAGATAACGAAACTCCAAAAAGAAAGAAAGAAAGAAAACACACAACCCAAGGGAGGGATGGGAGAACGGCACGCCGCCACCACACAGGGATTTTAAGGAGAGGAGTGTGGTGCGCTAGCCGTCGCCCACCCTGGGGAGTCTGCCTCTTCGTATCTCTTTTCGGCCTCATAACTTTGCTCGGCTTTTTCTTTTCGCAGCCAACTCGAAGGCTGCCATTACGAGAGCCTCTGCAACTGCCGCTTGCCTGCCGGTAACACGGTGGCGCGGCGGCCGTCATCTCGGTGGCGGCGGTGGCGGGAAAGGCGGTGCGCCCTCGCGAATGTGCCGAAACGGGCTGCTCGGCCCAGCCATCGGCGACTTGCTCGACGACGGCGCGCCGGTCGAGGAGCGGCTCAACCGGGCCGCCCTCAAGGCGACGGCGCGGCGTCACGCGCTGGCGGCGGAGGCCGATGCGAGGCAGGCGGCGGAGCATCCGTTCCAGCCGCGTGGCAACCGGCACTCGCGGCAGCTGCTCCGCGAGCGGCGGCCTCTCACGCAGGAGGAGCTATCCGACGCCGCCGTGCGTGCGCGGGAGCTGATTGCCGCCGCGCGAGCGGCGCGTGTGGCCGACGAGATGGCCGAGGCGACCTTTGCCCCGGCGCTGGACGAGCGGTCCCGCGCGATCGCCGAGGCGGCGCTGGCGGAGGCGCCTGCCGGCGCACCCACCGACTTTGTCTCTCGCTCTCGCCGCTGGGCCGAGGCGCGGGAGGCGGCGCGGCGCGAGGCGGCGGCGCAGGCGGCGGAGGCTGCGGCTGCCTACCTTGAGCAGAGGCCGGAGATGACGGCGCAGTCAAAGGCGCTGGCGCAGAAGCGGTACGACGCGCTCCTCCTCCGGGAGGCCTCGAGGGAGGCGGAGGCCTTGCACTTGGGAAGGGAGAGCCTCAACTCAGCGACGGGAGGAGGAGGAGGTGGTGGAGGAGGCGGCGGAAGTGGCGGAGGTGGCGGCGGCGGAGGTGGAGGAGGCGGTGTAGGTGGCGGCGGCGGAGGCGGAGGCGGAGGAGGCGGCGGATACGCAGAGGTTGCGGCGGCGCAGAGGGCGGCGGCCGAGGAGCGATGGGCGGCGCGCGTTGGCGAGATTCTGGCCGAGGAGGAGCCGTTCCGCCCCGCCATCACGTCCGCCGCGTCCTCGCTCGTCCGAGCCGGCGACGTGTGTGAGCGGCTGCACCGCGATCGCGAGGAGAGGGAGGCGCGGCGAGAGCAGCAGCGGCGGGCGATCGAGGCTGAGCAGCAGGAGAAGGAGGCCGCCGCCGCCGCCGCCGCCGCCGCGGCTGCCCGCGAGCGCGCCGCCGCCGCCGCCGCCGCCGCTGCGCCGCTAGGCCACTCTGCGGGTTGGGCGGCGCCGCGGGCGGCGAGGGTGGAGGAGGGGATCGTGGCGCGCTCTCGCGCGGCGCGCAGCCGGTCGGTGGCAGCGCTCGAGGAGCTGCTCGCGGCGGAGTGTCCGTTCGCGCCCTCCATCGACGCGCGCTCGACCGCCATCGAGGCGCGGGCGAGGGAGAGGGACCCCGAGGCGGCGGCGGCGCGCCTCTACGCGCCTCCTCGCCGCCCGCCGCCGCCGCAGCAGCAGCAGCGGCGGCCGGGGCGCGGCGGAAGCGGCGGAAGAGGAGGTGGAGGAGAAAGCGGCGGAGGCGGCGGGCGGCGCGGAGGCGGAGGAGGCGGCGGCGCGGGGTCGGGGGGCGTCGATGGGGCGCGTGAGGCGTCGGCTTCGGACACGCTCGACCCGAGGCTGCACCCGGAGTGCCGTTTCGCGCCCGCCATCGACGCGCACTCTGCGGCTCTCGACGGCGCGCGCGGCGGGCTTAGCGGCGCCGCGAGGGCAGCGAGGCTGCACGCGCGGCACGCGGCGCTGGAGCGACGGCGCGGGGCGGCGGCGGAGGAGAAGCGCGCGCGCGAGCTCGACGGGTGCACGTTTGCGCCAGAGACCCTCGGAGGAGGCAGAGGAGGCGGAGGAGGCGGAGGAGGCGGAGGAGGCGGAGGAGGCGGAGGTGGAGGAGGCGGAGGAGGCGGAGGCGCAGCTTCACCGAGATGACTCGAGATGAGCCGAGATCACCATGAGATGAGCCGAGATGAGGCGAGGTTAGGCGACGTCGCTTCGCGCAGCGCGGAGTGGGCGGCGAGGCGCGAGGCGAGGCTGCGCGTGGAGAGGGAGGCGAGGGACGTGGCCAGCCTCGAGGGCTGCTCCTTCACACCCTTTGGGGACGAGTCCGAGGAGGCATCTCCCTCGTATCTCCCCCACCTCTCCCCCACCTCTCCCCCACCTCTCCCTCGCCTCTCCCCCACCTCTCCCCCGTTTCTCCCCCGTTTTCTCCCCCGTTTCTCCCCCGTTTCTCCCCCGTTTCTCCCCCGTTTCTCCCCCGTTTCTCCCCATCCAGATCTCCCCATCCAGATCTCCCCATCCAGATCTCCCCCATATCGCCCCATATCTCGTGTCGCCGGAGGCATCTCCCCCCTCTCTGCCCCAGGCGCGGAGGGAGGTGCGGATGCACACGGCGCTCGCCTCCGCCGCGGCGCGCGTTCCGCTCGACGAGCACAACTGCGCCGCCGAGTGGGTGGCGAGGATGAGGCACGCCCGCGCGCAGGCGGCGGAGGCGAAGCGGGAGGCGCCCTGCACTTGGACGGGCGAGCTGACCACGCCCGTCGAGTTCTCGCTCGGGACGCGGCGAGGCGTGCGCGGCGGGATCCGGTCCTTGCAGCGGCCCTTCTCCCCGCCGGCGCCGCTCGCATGCCGCCGCTGGGCCGGCCAGCGAGCAGCGCCTCTTCACACGGCGTTCGCTGCGAACTAGGCGCCGCTCGCCGACACGGCGGCAGCGTTTGCCGCGGCGGCGGCGGATGCGCGCCGCCGCTGCGACTCCCCGGAGGGCCACGGGTTGGATGGCTACGCCTCTGCCGCGAGCCGCACGCCGCACGCCTTCCGCGAAGCCGCGGCCGTGCCGACGCCAGCGACCGCATCGGCCGACAGCGCCGCCGGCGAAGCTTCGTGGTATGAGGCGCCGGAGCCGCCGGTTGGCGTGGCCGCCGCCGCCAGGGAGTCACCGCTCAAGCAGCGCGCGCTGAGGCATGCGACCACCGCGGGAGAGGCGGCGGTGGCGCCTCCCCCGCCTGTGCGCGAGGAGCAAGACGACGACGACGACTTCGACGAGATGTTCGACGACTACGATGCCGATGATGTCTAGAGCCGTAGCATGCAACCTGAGTAGGCAGCTAGCCTGTACCGTGTACGTTAAAAACAGAATGATCTATGAAATCCTGGAGGATAACACGGAGTATACAGACCGGGGCCGAAAAGAATTCTTAAGATTGAAGCCTCTCTCACAGCACAAGGCACGACAAGGGCGCGAAAAGAAACCCGAACCATGGCCTCCCATCGCATCGGCGCCCGCCTCTCTGGCCTCTCGCCAGAGCAGCTCGTCGCCTTCATCGACGAGCAGGCGCCTCTCTGGAGCGCCGCCGCACTGCGCGTGGCGGAGGAGCACGCCGCACGGCTCGTGGAGCAGCCCGAGTGGGTGCTCTCCGAGGTCCTCCTCTCGCCGGACCTCGCCCCGCACATCCTCGCCCAGCTGCCGACCAAGGAGCACGCCGCCAAGGGAACGTGCCGCGCGTGGCGCCGCGGCTGGAAGGAGACGCTGAAGAAGCGCGAGAGGCCGCGCATGCTCGTGTTCGGCGGCTACGGCGGTGGGGGCAGTAACATCAACTCGCTGGAGCGGTACGACCCGTCCACAAATGAGTGGGGGGAGGAGGCTGTGGCGCCGATGCCGTCGGCACGAAGGTTTGTCGGCATGACGGTGCTCGATGGCAAGCTCTACGCGGCGGGCGGCCAGGACGTTGACCTCGCAACTTCCAGCCTGGTCGAGCGGTACGACTTGGCTACGAAGTCGTGGGAGGCGGTGGCGCCGATGGCGACGGTACGCGATGGTCACGCCGTGGCGGTGCTCGACGGCAAGGTCTATGCTGTTGGCGGGTACAGCGACGGCGTCGGCTTCCTCAGCTCGGTGGAGCGGTACGACCCGGCGCTGGATGCATGGGAGGCGGTGGCGCCGATGGGGGAGGAGCGGAGCAGGCCCGGCGTGGCGGTGCTCAACGACGGCAAGCTGTACGCCGTGGGAGGCTACAGCGGCGACGACGCCCTCAGCTCGGTGGAGCGGTACGATCCCGCGTCCAATGCGTGGGAGGAGGTGGCGCCGATGGCGGAGGCGCGGAATCTTGCCGCCGTGGCGGTGCTCGACGGCAATTTGTACGCGGTGGGAGGCTACAACGACGACGACCACCACCTCAGCTCGGTGGAGCGGTACGACCCGGGGACGGATGCGTGGGAGGCGGTGGCGCCGATGGCGATGCCACACGAGGGTCACGCCGTGGCGGTGCTCGACTGCAAGCTGTACGCGGTGGGAGGCTACAACGACGACGGCGGCGTCCTCAGCTCAGTCGAGCGGTACGACCCTGCGGTGGGTGCGTGGGAGGCGGTGGCGCCGATGGCGGCGTCGCGAGAGCTGCTGTCGGCGTGGCGATGCTCGACGGCAAGCTGTACGCTGTGAGCGGCAGGGTCGAAGAGGAGGCTGAGGCTGAGGTCGACCGGCCGGCTAACACGGTTGAGCGGTTCGACCCGGCCTCCAACGCCTGGGAGGAGGTGGCGCCGATGGCGACGGCGCGGCTCTTTGCTGTCGCGCTCCTGGTGTAGAGCGGCATATACGTAGAATCGCCGGTAGACGGTGATGTGCGGTGATTTTGTTTTTCTCTTTCTGCGTCGCTCCGCTCTGGCCGGCGGTCTGCGCCGTGAGTGTGCGAGTGAGTATTCTTGATACGAAACCACGACGACACACACCAGTCGACTCGCATCGGTTGCCTCCATGAACGGCGGAGCTATTCTCGCGCCCACACCACACCTGGCTCCAACGTGGACACGCCCATAGCTGGGGACACTACTAGGTCACGCATGGCATCACAGAAGTTTTATCTCTGGGCCCCGAAAGGCATCTCTAGCAGTGTCGTTACACATGCCCCCTCCCCTCCTGGGCGCATGCGCCTCACGTCTCGCCAGAGCATAAGCCCTTGGCGTGTGGCGAGACGAGTTTTTCGCCATGCAGCGAGCAGCAAGCCGCCCGCCGCAAACAGCCGGAGGCCTCGCCGCGGCACTGGCTGCGCCGCGGTCCCGCACCCGTCGACGCAGCTCCCCCCGCGGAAGACCGCGCGTAGCGACGCCTTGACGATCGAGATGAGCGTGCCTGAAGCTCGCCCACCTACTGCCCCTCGTGAGAGTTGGTTATGAGTGGGATCAGCTCCCCCCCTTGGGATCGAAGCCGCCACAACCTCACACCCAACATCCCAGGCGGGATCAGAGAGAGACTCCGCACCGGACACCGCCCGGGCACAGACCCCCTACCCGTCGGATTGCACAGGGCCCCCTCGGAGCAGCCCACACACAATCACACATCGGCAGAATTAGTGCCTGAGTCAGGCAGACAGCACAGACAAAGGAGAGGAGACAGAGGAGAGAGAGAGAGAGAGAGAGAGAGAGAGAGAGAGAGAGAGAGAGAGAGAGAGAGAGAGAGGAGAGGGGAGAGGGTGTGTGCACACATGTGGAGCAGGGAGGGTGTCTGTGGTGGGTTGTAGTCATACTACGTGGTTAGAACCACGCGCCCCTCAGGAGCTAAGGTAGAGCTGAGCGTCCAAGACGCCTCGGTGCCTCCCACCGGCGTGACACACACACTGGGGTAAGCGGGGTAAGGGGTAACAGGTGTACGCCGTGCAAAGCACTCTGTACCGATTTGATGGATCGAAAGGCGAAGAACAGTCAGGCTCGGGCTGGACACCAACGCAGTATGGGTGGACGCCGAACTCTCGGCTGGTCGCGATTTCTTTTTGTGGCCACGCGTGTTCAGCTCCGCGCAGGCGCGTTATACACCACCGCAGCGCCTGGCCCAGCCCAGCCGAGACCTCTCTCCCCTCGCACCGACCGCCCACCCCCGCCGCGCGCTCCCGCGGTCGCGCCCTGCTCTCCCCGCTGGGGATCGAGTCTCAGGGGCGCGACGACCGCCGGAGTGCGCATGTGGTGCCCTCGATTAATAAATAAGCTTGCAATTAACGATGCGGGCCCTCACTCTGCTGTTGCTGTGCTTCGCCTTTTCCGCGGCGGCGCTTCGGCTTCCCGCGCCGTTGCCACGATCCAATCGTGCCTCGTCAACGCAGCCGCCGCCGCCGCTGCCCGCACTACTCTCGTCGGAGCAGCTCCTCGGCCGCCGCGCCACGATGGTCAGCGTCATTGCCACGCTCGGCTTTTCACTTCCAGCTTCGCTGCCAGCGCATGCAGGTCAGCAGACAATTCACGCGTGGCACGCATTGGATTTCACGCGTGGCATGCATTATCAGACTCTGTCTCGCTTAATTTAGACGCGGCCGGGCGGGTCGAGGCGGCGGCGAAGGAGAGGGAGAAAGAGCGCGCCGCGAGGGATCGGGAGCGCACCAAGGCGACGGCGCAGGCAAGGCCGTCCACCTCCCTAGCTCCCCTCCTTCTCTCCACAGCGCCCTCGCCTCTGCCACCCTGACCGCCGCCCCCGCCCGCCGCAGCGGGAGAGGGAGGTCGCGGCGGCTCAGAAGAAGCGCAAGGCGGCCGATGACAAGAAGAGGGCGGTGGTGACGAAGGCGCAGTCGGCGGCGGCGTCAAAGGAGAAGGCGCGCAAGCAGCGCAAGCAGGCCGAGGCGGACAAGAAGAGGCGGGCAAAGGAGGCGCGAGCCAATCGCCGCCTTCTCGCCCACCCACTCTCACCTCGCCCACACAGCTCCCCCCCACTCTTGCAGGCGATCCAGACGCGGCAGGCGTCCAAGGAGAAGCAAAAGGCTCTCTCCCCCCCTCGTCCTCCCGCCGCTGTCCTCCCCCCCACCTCGCCTCTGCCAACCCTGCCGCCCCCATCTGCTGCCCGCCCCCGCCCCCCTGCCCGCCACCCTCTCCTCTCTCCTCTGCCCTCTCCTCTGTGCAGCGCCCCCTCTGTCCCGCTTGAAACCCCTCGCTGCCTCGACCCTCCCTCCCTCCCTCCCTCACCGCCGCCGCCCTGGCGCTGCCCTGTGCACCAGGTTGAGCGGCTCAAGTCGCAAAAGGCGCAGCGCGCGAGGGCGCCTCGTCGGCCCAGCCGCGGCGGCGGCGCAGGAGGACTCCTCTCCAACGTCCTCGTCCTCGGCACGCGCCGCTGCTGATAGTTTATGGGGCTTGTCCTGCGAACGGCGCTTCTCGTCACGGCAGTCGGGCGTGCCACAAATAGGGACGGGCGCCGCGGTCTACCTTGGCGTGCTGGGCGACGACAGCTCCACCGGGGAGGCCTAGCCGGGCTAGGGCGCTAGATCGGGCAACCCGAGCCCTGCCGAGCTCCTGCGCTGCGGGGGCCGCCCCGCGAAGGGCCGGGGTGCCCACTGCCCCCGGTGGGAGAGCCTGCGCGCTCGTGCGTCGCGGCGTGCCTCACGAGTGTGGTGGTACGGACACACAGAGCTCACGGGCTCCTCACAGAGCGAGAGCCGTCTCTCGGGTCTCGCTCGCTCTCGGGAGTCTCTCGGTCGCAGCCGCAGGGTAGCCGCGGGTAGGCGGACCCGGACGTGTCGGAGAGCTGGCCGCTGCATATTATACACGCATGTTCGTTTTGCGCCGCATGCGGGCGTTTTCTTATAGCTATGACACTGGAAAGACATATGACAGCACACACGGGTTGAGCGAAATCCCGTGCCAAGGGTCGGCGTGTGTGCTCAGCTGCGGCAGGCCACGCGAGTGCGTCTACTCGTCGACGTTGACGGTCTGCAGGCCCTTGTACTGGTGCCTCTCGACGACCACGTGCGTGCACAGCGTGTACAGCTTGTCCGTCGCCTCCTCGTCGTCGTTGCGCTTACGCGCCAGCCGCACGCGCACGCGCCCCGGCACCGCCTTGATGCCTTGGCTCCACAGAAACTTGTTCAGCTTCGTGTCGACGCGGACGTCGTCGGTGCCCATCATCTTCTTGGCGAACGCCTTGACCTCCTTCACCGCGCGCGGCGCCCGCTTCTTGAAGCCGATGCCGTGCAGCAGCTTCTTCAGGTGGATGGTGTACTCGCGCGTCACGACGTCTTCGCTCCGCTTGATCTTGCCGGCGCCCTTTGCCATCGCGACGCAAGCCTGGGCGGGGCGCGGCGGGTGGGGGACAGGTCGGCGGCCAGTCCAGCGGAGACGCGCGCACGGCCGGGCGTGGGAGGGGGGCTGGCCCACGCCGCAGTGGCGGGCGCAGCGCGGCCCCGGGGAACGGCCGCGCAGACCCCCCGCTGGCGACGCCCCTGAGACTCGATCCCCAGAGGGGAGAGCAGGGCGCGCCAGAGAGAGCCGCGGGCGCGGGCGACAGGCGCGCATAGAGGGCGCAGCGCAGAGGGCTGCTGCAGAGCGGCCGCCACGCGCCGCACTCCCCCGTCGTCGCGCCCCTGAGACTCGATCCCCAGCGGGGAGAGCAGGGCGCGACCGCGGGAGCGCGCGGCGGGGGTGGGCGGTCGGTGCGAGGGGGGTCTCGGCTGGGCTGGGCCAGGCGCTGCGGTGGTGTATAACGCGCCTGCGCGGAGCTGAACACGCGTGGCCACAAAAAGAAATCGCGCCTACGAGACTTCGGCGTCCACCCATACTGCGTTGGTGTCCAGCCCGAGCCTGACTGTTCTTCGCCTTTTTCGATCCATCAAATTCGGTACAGAGTGCTTTGCACGGCGTACACCTGTTACCCCTTACCCCGCTTACCCGGGTGTCACTTTACAGACTTCACCTTCATCTGAGCCTTACCACCCCCCTTCCCTTTTGCGGGGCCGCCCTTGGCCTTGGCCGCCTTGGCCTCTGCCTCGGCCCTCTTCTTTGCGTCCGCGGCGTCCTGCTTCGCCTTGGCCGCCGCCGCGGCCGCCGCCACCTTCTCCTCCTTGGCCATCACCTGTTTAGGGGCACGGCGGCCAACCATCGCCGCGTGGTGCGCTGGCGCCCACCCAAGGCGATCACGCGCCACGACGAGCGAGAGTAGAGGGGGCACCTGTAGCAGGCGTCGGAGGGCGACGGCGTCGCCCGCCGCCGCCGCGGCGTGCAGGGGGTTGTCGGTGTAGACGTCGAGTCGCCGGCCTGCGGTGTTTTGAGGGTCAAACTGAGCCACACGAGGCCGCACGAGGCCTCTGGACGAGCCGGAGAGCTGAGTGCGACGCGTGTGGAGGGTGGGAATTGGGCATCTGTGTCGCCGCTCTGATGCATCTGGAGCCTGCTGCCCTCGGCCTGTGCAGCGGCCGCCAATGAACTGTCTGTTGGGAAGCCGGCGGCGTTGGATGCGCGCATCTCCTCGACCTGCTTGGCGGCCATGTCTATCCGGTGGAGCAGCGGAGCGCGGGTCGACGACCTCATCTTGGGCTGACAGGGCCGTCCGTTCGCCTCTGGCGCAGCACCCATTGTCGCGGCCGGAGGGGGGGCGTCGGTTACGACAGAAGAAAGAAAAAGAAAGGGATGCGAAGGCGCCGCGTTTCTTTCTTCTCAAGGACAAAGTCGAACAGTTTTTTAATGGCGGAGATCGGCAGCCTTCCCCAAGCGGTCTGCATAGCGGCCGGGCGAGGCGACGAGGCGAAGCTGCTGGCGTGGCTCGGAAGCGGCGGGCGGGTCAATGCGACTTGCATGCTACGCGATGTCAGCGGCGTCACCGCGCTGATACTCGCCGCCCAGGAGGGCCACGAGCGGGCGGTCGACTTGCTGCTTCAGCGCGGCGCGGATGCTAACATGCAGGACAGCAATGGCGGCACCGCGCTGATACACGCCGCCATCAACAGCCGCGAGCGGTTGGTCGAGCTGCTGTTGCAGCACGGCGCGGAGATCAACCTGCAGGATAGAAACAGTTGGACGACGCTGATGTACGCCGCTGCCGAAGGCCACGAGCGGGTGGTCGAGTTGCTGCTGCAGCGCGGCGCGGAGATCAACCTGCAGGCTAGCAACGGCTTCACCGCGCTGATGGGCGCCGCCAACTACGGCCACGAGCGGGTGGTCGAGCTGCTGCTTCAGCGCGGTGCGGAGATCAACCTGCAGAACAGCATCGGCGGCAACGCGCTGATGCTCGCCGCCGCCAACGGCCACCCTGCCACCGTGCTCCGCCTGCTGCGGGCGGGCGCGGATACAAAGCTGCGCACTGCGAAGGGCGAGTCCGCACTGCAGTACGCCAGGGAGCAGGGCCACAGCGAGTGCGTCGAGGCCTTCCGGCAGCACATCGCGGAGGTGGCTGCGGGCCAGCGCGAGGCGGCGGCGGGCGGCGCGGGCGGCGCTTCCTTGGGCGAGGCGGCGGCGGGAGCGAGGGCGACGGCCTCTTCCGGCTCGCTGGGCAGCCTTCCCAACGAGGCCATGGACGCAGCTCTAGACGGCGACGAGGCGGCGCTGCTGACGTGGCTCGACGGCGGCGGGCGGGTCAATGCGACTTGCGTGGTAGACGATGTGAGCGGCATCACCGCGCTGATGCTCGCCGCCGGCAGCGGCCACGAGCGAGTGGTCGAGCTGCTGCTTCAGCGCGGCGCGGATGCCAACAAGCAGAGCAGCGACGGCAGCACCGCGCTGATGTTCGCCGCCAGCCAAGGCCACGAGCGAGTGGTCGAGCTGCTGCTTCAACGCGGCGCGGATGCCAACAAGCAGAGCAGCGACGGCAGCACCGCGCTGATGCCTGCCGCTGGCAACGGCCACGAGCGGGTGGTCGAGCTGCTGCTTCAGCGGGGCGCGGAGATCGACAAGCAGAATAGCGACGGCAGCACCGCACTGATGGCCGCCGCCGCAACAGGCCACGCCGCCATCGTGCTACACCTGCTACGGGCGGGCGCGGATACGAAGCTGCGCTCTGAGAATGGCGAGTCCGCGCTGCAGATGGCCAAGGAGGAGGGCCACAGCGAGTGCGTCGGGGCCTTCCGGCAGCACATCGCGGAGGTGACTGCGGGCCGGCGTGAGGCGGCGGCGGGCGGTGGCGCGGGCGGCGCTTCCTTGGGCGAGGCGGCGGCGGGAGCGGGGGCCGCGGCCTCTTCCGGCTCACTGGGCAGACTTCCCAACGAAGCGGTGGACGCAGCTCTTGACGGCGACGAGGCGGAGCTGTTGGCGTGGCTCGACAGCGGCGGGCGGGTCAATGCGACTTGCCGGGCGGGCGATGTGAGCGGCGTCACCGCGCTGATGCTCGCCGCCGGCAACGGCCACGAGTGGGTGGTCGAGCTGCTGTTGCAGCGCGGCGCGGATGTCAACCTGCCGGACAGCGTCGGCGTCACCGCGCTGATGCACGCCGCCGCCAACGGCCACCCTGCCACCGTGCTCCGCCTGCTGCGGGCGGGCGCGGATACAAAGCTGCGCACTGAGAAGGGCAAGTCAGCGCTCCAGTATGCCAGGGAGAAGGGCCAAAGCGCGTGCGTGCGCGCCCTCGAGGAGCATGCGGCGGCGCAGGCAGCGGCGAGGGCGATGGAGAGTGCGGCGGCAGAGGCGGAGGCGGCGCGGCATGCCGAGGCGCTGCTGGCGGAGGAGGAGGCGGAGAAGGAGGCGGGGCGCGCCAAGGAGAGCAAGAAGGGGAAGAAGAAGAAGAACAACGGGAGGGGTGGCGGCGGAGGCGCTGGGCCGTCGCGGGAGCCCGAGGATGAGGCGGAAGAGGCGGGAGAGGGCGAGGCAGCGGCGGCGGCAGAAGAGGCGGAGCTGGCGGCGGCGCTCGAGGAGAGCGCGAGGCTGGAGGGAGCGAGGCCGGTGGTGGAGGAGCAGACGCTTGTCGCTGCGACCGAGGGCGGCTCGCCGTCGGCTGCAGAGGCGCCGGCTCCGAAGGAGGAGGAGCCGCCGGCCGACTTCATCTGCCCGATCACGACTGAGATTATGGTCGAGCCAGTCGTGGCGGCCGACGGGCAGTCGTATGAGCGGACTGCGATCGAGCGCTGGCTCGCGACCAAGTCGACGAGCCCGCTGACCGGCGGCGAGCTCGAGCATAGCATCCTGATCCCGAACCACAATTTGCGCCGGGCGATTCGAGAGTGGCAGGAGGCGCGGACGGCACTTTGAGCCCCCGGCGCGGCGAAGATGAGCATCTAGCGCAGCGGGGGGCAAGGGGCCAACTACCGCCCAAGCCCGTGCCCAAGCCCGCGCAGCGCAGCGCCGGGGAACGCGATTCTTCGCGAGCGTGCTTGATGTGAACGGACCATACTATAGTTCTTGCTAGATCGTAGAACGTAGATGCGGTACTTTCGCGCTTGGGGCGTCACGTGGGGTGCTTGGACGTATTTACGCCGCCGCCACCCCCCACGCCGCCTTCGTCTCCGCCGCCCCCCCCTCGCCCTCCCCGTAAAAAAAACGGTTCAAGTCTTAAAGAGGCAAAACGAGCCAAAACACATTTTTTGCGGAGTTCGAGTTGGTGCACCCCTCACACTGTCACTGACACATTCCCCTCATCCCCTACCCTTGGCTGAGCACATCTACCTGCTCGAGCTAGCATCTCCGCGGCGCATTTTCTCTTCCAGTGATCCAGTCATCCGCCCGCGCCGCGCGCGCCATCTCTGGGCGTCTAGTGCAGCCACTGACAGAGCTATTCCGAAGGAGTGGTCGACGCCTCGCCTAGAGTTCGGGTGGACTTGCGCACTGCTTAGCCCAGAGGGGGGAGTGGTGTGAGGTGGTGTAATGTTGTCCCGTTTCGCGTTTCAGGCCACAGACGGCACCAGGTCAGGGGATTAGCCGGGAGGATTCGGCAGCTCAGCTGGGGGCTGAGCGTCTGCAGGCAGCCTTCCGCCCGCGCCGAAATTCACAGCCCTCCCGGGCCGACGGGGTGCTCCTTGGATCGGGCCCCGCTCCCCACTTTTCCTGTACCTGGACTGTCCGGGTCAGGAGGGTGAGAGTATTGGGTGGGCAAGGGAAGTACATCTGGCGGGTGGCGATTGAGGGACAGCAAGAGGGCTGATTGGGGGGTCAATGGGCGCGCGGGTGGCGCTTTGTGGTCCTGGGCGAGCAAGGGAAGTGGTTAGGAGTCTGGGGCCTAGAGAGGATTGTCGAGATGGCATGCGAGAGCGGTGGGCGAAGTTTGGTGGTACTTGGAGCACTTGGAGTGCAGTTATTAACCTCACATCCAGGGCTGAGGAGCGCCGTGCACTTGGAGCACTTGGAGTGCAGTCATTAGCCTCACATCCAGGGCCGGGGACATAAGTCCTGGTAAAATTCTTTTGGCCCCCGGCGGCCAAGCAAGCCCGCAGGCACGCCGATGGCCACGCCAGTGGCCGCTCCCTTTGAGGCCGACGACTACGACGACGTGAGCGAGGCGGAGGATGAGGAGCCGGCGCCGCTCTCCGCGCTCGACGACGCAGTGGACGCAGTGGATTTCCTGGCAGACGAGGTCGAAGCCGGTGCGCCTGCACAGGACAGCGCCGCCGAAGCCGTCGAGATGGCGATCGCCGCGGAAGAAGCGTCCACGGAGACGGCCGACCCGGAGGGCGCCGTCCTGCCGACCATCGCTCCCGGTATCTTCAAGCTGTCGGCCATCTTTGGCCACGAACGAGATCGGCGACTGCCGCGAGCAAAGGAGCTGCCTCCCGCGACGGCGCTGTCGGAGCCGCCTCCGTCGAGCGTTGACGCCTTCCTCCGGCCGCGTGAGGACGAGGCGGTGGAGACGGACCCGTGGGCCGCGGTGGAGGATCGACTCACCGGCTCTCGCGCCGCCGCCGCAGCGCCGCAGGCAGCGCCGCAGGCAGGGGCGGAGGAGGCAGGGGCGGAGGCGGAGGCGGGGGCGGAGGAGGCGGAGGCGGAGGCGCAGGGCGACGCCGCTGCCGAGGCGGATCCCCCCCCGCCGTCGGGCCGCCAGCCGCGGTCTGGCGCGCGCTCGGGCCGGCGGCCGGTCGCTCGGCGCTCTTCTTTGCGTGGCGAGGCGGCTGCGGGCAGGGCGGCGGGCGGGGCGGCGGGCGGGGCGGGTGCGGCGGGGAGGGCGGCGGGCAGGGGGGCGGGCAGGGCGGCGGGCGGGGCAGAGGGTGGGGCGGAGGGCGGCGAGCCGGAGCCGTGGTTCGCGAGCGAAGGCTCAAGCGGCGAGGGCGGCGAGGAGGAGGATGCGTGGTGGCTGTCTGGGACGGCGGCCGCTGCTGCCGCCGTCCCGAAGCGAAACGGGGCGCGCGCGGCGAACGCGAACGCCGCCGCCGGCGGCGGCGGCGGCGGGGGGGTTGGTGATAGTGGTGGCGGTAGGAGCAGCAGCCGTGACCCTTGGGAGTTTGGGGCGGAGCCGCTCGTTTTGTCTGCGGATGAGGGAGGGGGCGGAGGCGGCGGCGGAGGTGGCGGCGGCGGAGCGGGAAGCGGAGGAGGAGGAGGAGGAGGAGGAGGAGGAGGCGGAGGAGACCTCGCCTCTCTCGCCCGCGTGAGCATCGACACGTGGGAGGACGCGATCGCGTGGGGAGCACTCTCTTCGTCGGACGAGGCCGCTGCTGATGACGCCGCTGATGCCGCTTCCGACCGTGGCGGCGGGGAGGGAGGCGGCCGCAGGGGCGGGGAGGGAGGCGGCCGCAAGGCTTGGGGGGGCGCGCGGTCGCGGTGGGCGAGGGCTCGGCCTTCGCCGCAGCGGCCGCCGCTCGCGCGAGAGCGGGATGCTCCTGCCGGCTCGCTTCGGCGGAGGGATGGGGCGCGCGTGCTTCGCGACGAGGCGGGGAGCGAGCCTGCGGGCCGGCCGGCCGAGGGCTCCTCCTGGCTGGCAAAGGTGGTCTGGGACGAGGAGCGGCCGCCGTGGGGCAGCGGGCCAGCGCCTCCTGTCCGTAGGCTAAGGAACCTTCTCGGAACCTTCTCGGAGCCTTCCTTAGGCAGCGGGCCAGCGCCTCCTGTCCGTCGGGTGGTGGACGTCTCCGATCTCGGCGCGAGATCGCGAGATCGCCGAGAGGTGGCCGAGAGGCGGCCGAGAGGCGGCAGAGAGGCGGCAGAGAGGCGGCAGAGAGGTGGCCGAGAGGCGGCAGAGAGGCGGCCGAGAGGCGGCCGAGAGGTGGCCGAGAGGCGGCAGAGAGGCGGCAGAGAGGCGGCAGAGAGGCGGCAGAGAGGCGGCCGAGAGGCGGCCGAGAGGCGGCTCGCTGCGATGCGTGCCGAGATGCGGCCGGCCTCTCTCTCCTGCATGAGCGACTCCACAACGGTCCTCCTCCCCCAGGCGTCGAGTGACATAGGCTACTGACGCCCTCCCCGCGCCCTCCCTCTCAGGCGTCGTGCTCGAGTCCGACCTCGCCCTCTCTCCTCCTCCGCCGCCTCCGCCGCCAGAGTTCGACTCGGACGCCTCCTCCGACGACCCCGCAGAGCTAGAGTGGCGCGCAAAGTGCGAGGCGGAGCACACGGGAGGAGGAGGTGTCAACGGCCGATGTCAATGCTGTGTTCACTCGTGTTCATGGTCATTAGGCGGAGCACAAGGCGGAGGTCGCAAGGGCCGAGGCCGCCGCTGCCCACGCCGTCGCCGCAGACGCGCGTGCGATCCTCTCGGCTGCCGACTGGCGGGAGGCGCTGAGTCTCGGTGGTGGTGGCGCGGCCGCCGTTCGCGGGCGGCAGGTTGGGATGGCGGTGGTGGGCCGATCTCGCACGGCGTGCTCTGTAGGCGCGGCCGCCATCGCCGGCGGCTGGGGCGGGAGGAGACTGGCGGAGGCGATGAGTGGAGAGGCGGCGGGCTGGCGGCGCCTCGCCCTCGACGCGCTGTACGAAGACCTCTCCGAGGCGGAGCGGCGCAAGCTACGCTCGCCGCGGCTGCCGAACGCCGACCCGGCCTTGCGGCTTCGACCCGACCTCCCCCCCCTGCCGCTGACGGCGGAGGACTTGCGAGCGCTGCGCAGGCCGCTCTGCCAGCGGCCTCCGATGGAGACGCACCCGGCGCTGGCGGTGGGCGCGCGTGTGGTCGTGCGTTCGGGCCCCTTCGAAGCCGCCGAGGGCACCGTGACGGAGGTGGACGCCGCCATTTGCACCGTCCTGCTCGCCGCCATGGGCCGCAAGACGACGGTGCGCCTTCCCGAGAAGTCGCTCGGATTGCCCGCCGAGTCGAGCTGGTACAGGCGCGAGCTTGCGGCGGACGGGGCAGGGCCGCGTGCCGTGCCGGTCCACCCGACCATGCAGGCGCTCGGCGGTAGAGCGTGACACGATTGCCACACGCGCGAGGCGAGGGTGCAGCGTGACACGATTGCCACACGCGTGAGGCGACTGCCATCGTCGCCCCTCCCCTTCTGCGCAGGTGCGGTGGGGGCGAAGGGCGAAGCGGCCGCCGCGCGGCGCGACGCCGCTCGAGCTGCTGCGGAGCAGCAACGACCTCGGGCTGCGGCACGCGCACAGAACGGACGCCGCCGGCCCCTCTCCTCCCTCCACTCCACTGAGGGGCTGTGCCGCTTGTCCCGCCAGGCACGCGCACGGTACAGACGCCATCTTGCTCTTCGAGTACTGCGAGGAGAGGCCGCCGCTGCTCGGGCGGAGCGGCATGCCGACGCGGCTGCTCCGCTTCCTCGGCGCGGGCAGCGGCGAGGGCGCCGCTCGCGGCAGCGACGGTGCGGAGGGCGGCGCCGGGGCGGACGGCGGCGGCCACGCGGGCGGCGAGGGCGAGAGCGTCTTTGACGAGGAGATGCCCGACGTGCCCGACTCTGTCACGGGTGGTCTCTCCGGCCGCGCCTCGCCGGCCCCCTCCGCCTACTCCACCGCCACCGGACGCTCCGTCGCCCCTTCCCCCGTCCCGTCCGCCTTCGGCACCGTGCCCCGCTCCGCCGCGCCGTCGCCGGTGCCGTCGGCGTTTGGCGGCGGCGGCTACGCCGGTGAGGTGCCGCTGCCGGTGCGCGGCGCGGAGCGGCGGGTCCAGTCCGACGAGGAGCTGCCATTCTTGCTCGGGGCGAGCATGCCGCCGGACGGCTCCCCCCTGCTCGCCGTCGAGTCGAACCTCTTCTCGGCGCCTGCGTTTCTGCACGCGCCGACCGCGCGGCCCGGCCGAAAGGCCTTCCTCTTGGTGCACGACGAGCGAAAGCCGTCCGACGGCTGGCGACTCCGCCGCTTGCAAGGCTGCTTGCTCGTCGGGCAGACACAGCCGTGTGAGCAGCCGCAGGGCGCGCAGGCGGTGCCGCGCCCAAACACGCGCGAGTTCCGCGAGATGCTTGAGCGGCGTGCCGCCGTCTTTTTGCAGCGGACGGTCTTCCCGCCCGGCAAGCCGCGCGACCGGCGGACGGGGAAGCTGTATACGGCGGACCGGTATTCGGCGCACCCCCGCGGCGGCTACTGCGTCAAGACGTACATCCAGGACCTGATGGCCGCCTGGCCGAAGCAGCACGAGGGCGTGCTGCGCGAGCAGCTCGAGAAGATCGCCGACGACGTCGAGCCGCGGCTGTACGAGCCGCGGCCGGAGAGGCGGCTGGGCGAGTCGGCGCTGCAGGCCACCTTCTCGCCCGAGGAGCAGAGTCTGCTCGAGGCGGCCTTTGTGGGCGAGCAGCGGCTGCGTGACGCGCTTTACCCGAAGATCCGGCTGCGCAGCGCGGACGGGCTCGACAAGGCGATCGAGGCCTTGCCTGGCTCTGAGGCGCTCAAGCTGGCCAAGCGAGCGAAGGCGCTGCTGATTGAGGAGGAGCTGCTGCTCGCCCCGTGGGCTCTCACCTCCAACTTCCAGGCCTTCAAGCACGGCCGCTGCCAGCTGGCCCTCGCTGGGCCGGGCGACCCGTCGGGCGGAAGAGGCGAGGGCTACTCGTACACGCGCGCCGAGAAGCCGGACAAGGAGCGGGGGGCGGACGGCGGCGCCAGGAACGGGTCGCAGCCGGGCGCGCAGGGCGGGTCGGCAGACGTGCGGAAGTGGAAGCTGGCGGAGTGCGTCGCCTGGCTGGCGCCGCACGGGTACGCGAGAGCGCAGGTCGCCAAGCTGTCTCGCGCCGACCGCGTCTCGCACATCACCGCGATCGCGACGCGCGAGCACGCGCGTGGCGAGCCGGGGTACGAGGCGTACGCGAGCAAGGAGGCGCTGGCCGCGGCGGGCGGGGACGGGCTCGCGCGGCAAGGTCTGTTCACAGCTGCGAGGGAGAGGGAGCTGTGAATAGGCGGGCGGGGAGGAGCTCGCGCGGCAAGGTCTGTTCACAGCTGCGAGGGAGAGGGAGCTGTGAATAGGCGGGCGGGGACGAGCTCGCGCGGCAGATCTGGGCGGCGCAGCTGGCGGCCCTCTCCTCGCCCCTGCCTGCGGGCGACGCCGAGGGCGCGTCCGAGTCGGAGGACGACTTCGCCGAGGCGCTCGAGCGCGAGATGGCGGCCCTGGACCTGTCCTGGACCTGTCCACGACACTTCCCTGACATGTCCCATAGGCGCTCGAGCGCGAGATGGCGGGCGCAGGGCCCGAGGCGCTGTCTGCTGCCGTGGACGAGGCCGACCTGGAGGCGCTTCGCGCCCGCGCGGCGGGGGGGGGCTCCTCCTCCTCCCTCGGCACGGCCGCCGCCGGCGGTGCGGCCGCCAGCGCCATCGGCATCACGGGCGGCATCTCGGGCATCAGCGGCGTCGCGGGCCCAGGCGGGGCGGCGCCGCTCGCGCGCCCGCGAAAGACGAAGATGGAGCGGACGGGAAGGCAGGTGCTGCGCAAGACGTCGTGGGCGGAGGAGGAGGGGAGGCTGGTGGAGAAGGTCGAGTACTTCGACAACACGCACACCGAGTTCATCGAGTACCAAAAGCGGCTTCAGGCGGAGGCGCGGCGCAAGCGCGCCGTCAAGTCGCACGAGGAGGAGAGGCGCGACAAGGAGGCGGAGCTCGAGAAGCGGCGTGCTCTCAAGGAGCTCGAGGAGCTTCAGATCCGGCGGCGGGCGCAGATCGAGTACATGGAGGAGGGGGCGGCGGGCGGGGAGGGCGAGGGGACCAAGTGCGGCGCGTGCGGCATGTTTGGCCACAGCAAGAACTCGAAGAAGTGCCCGCTGTACTGGCAGACGCAGCAGCAGCGGCGCGAGGAGGAGCAGAGCCAGTACAACCGGGACGTGGAGCGGCGCGGGACGGTGCTCAAGATCCACGCTGGCGCGGTCAAGGCGACCGAGAACAAGGTGGTCATCGGGGGCGAGAAGCTGCGCCGCATCAAGCGCAAGCAGGAGGAGGAGGCCTCCCGCGAGCGCAAGCGGGCGCGCGCCTCGCGTGGCGCCGCCGGCCGCAGAGCAGGCAACCCGCTCGTGACGCTTTATTATTATTATTATTATTATTATTATTATTATGATTATTATTAGGCAACCCGCTCGTGACGCTCAACAACGAGCTCAAGAAGGTCGCCGACGAGCTGCGCCGTGCGCAAGAGTACGAGCCGTTTGTCCTGCCCGTCGCAAAGTACATCCCGTCGTACACGTCGCACATCGCCCGGCCGATGGACCTGCACACCATGGGCCTCAACTGCGACAAGCAGGCGTACAGCCGCGCCGCAGCCTTCGAGGCCGACCTCGACCTCATCGCCTCCAACTGCCACGACTTCAACACGAAGCACAACCAGAACCTGCACCTCGAGCCGATCGCGCGCGCCCTCGCAGAGCGTGGCAAGGCGCTCGTCGCCGCGCGCCGCGAGGCCATCGCGGCCATCGAGGCGCAGCTCGAGCGCGACGCTCTCGCGCCGCCGCTCGCGCGCCGCCCAAAGCGGCCGCACACCAGCCGCTCCTCGCGCGGCGCGGGCTACGCCTCCCTCGCCGCCCTCCCCAGCAGCAGCGCCGCCGGCAGCTCCTCCTCCGCCTTCGACGCCGCCTCCTCCGCCTTCGATGGCGACGACGCCTCCTCCGTCGCCGACTCGTCCGCCCTCGACGCCTCCTCCGTCGGCGGCGGCTCCGACGGCGAGGGCGGCTACGCGGTCGACGCCGCCTCCGAGGCGGGCTCGTCCCTCTTCGACCAGTCCGAGGGCGAGGCCGACGGCGCGTCCGCCTTTGGCGAGTCGGAGGTCTCTGACGGTGGGGCGTCCGAAGTGTCCGAGCTCACGTTTGGAGCGCCTTCAGAGGGCGGCTTCTGAGACGCGTCCCGCCCGTGTGTGGGGAGCGTGGCATGTTCTGTACCCGAAACGCGAAAGCGTGTATCTCTTGCGAGTCTTGTCCGCGACAGACGCGAGCGACGTACGAATTACACGTAGGGAGCGGACCGTGAGTTGAGGAAATCGGAGGACCGCGACCCACTTCTCCACAGACGGTCCCGCGCCTCGCCGCTATGACGGCGACACGGCCGCAGCTCGTGTGCGTGTCGCCGTCTTTGTCCGGAGTGAAAAGTCCAACGCGCTCGTCGGTGACGGTGTCCCTCAACCTGCGCCGCGCTCGGCGAACCTCGACAGCGCTTTCGGTGGCATGCAGCTCTTTGCGACAGAAGCCTGGAGAGCAGCTCCTCGGCTGCTCACACGCTCTGCACAGTTGACACAGCCTACTGTGCGGATACCACAGCTGTGACAGCGATGGGCTCGCCCTCACTGGCCCTCAGTCACTTGTGCTGCGGCTTGTGTGTGAGGGACACTGCTCGGCGACTGCCGGCACACTGTGAGACCATGGGTGTGAGGTTAAACCACGCTACCAGCGCTTGGTCACATCGGCCCCGAGGTCAGATCCTTCTACTCTGTTAGTGACAAGACTTGTCTACTGGCTGGAGCCGAGCAGGAGGGCCCGGCGCACAACCCCTGGTCAACTCTCACACGGTCCACACCCCGTATTGTATACAAACAGGATGTGGACTACGAGTACTCCTACACTCGGCTCTCGACTTGTACGCTCCCTAGTGTGTGCCTTAGACGCTAGAGCCGACGCCAGTTGTGGTGAGCACGTCAGTACCTACACAGACGACGCGGCTCGCAATCCCTTTTCGCGCACCCTCAATCATACAAGCGATTGCATTGCACCGTACGAGCCTCCAATTGAGAGAAACGGCGCCTTTCAAGGCCCTCGATGCATCAGACAAGCAAGTCGCGCAACCGCTGTCCTTGCCCCTGGACAGCTGCGTTCTCTGGGTGCGCCTGCAGCGCCGCTGTCGCCGCCTCGGGCGCGCGTGCAGTCACAGCACGCCGCCTCCGCGCCCGCGCCGCGGCGTCGGTGCCGGAGCACACGTTGCGCAGCGCCCAGCAACCCAGTTTCTGCACATCCTCCACCTGCGGGTGAGCCTGCAGCGCCGCCACCACCGCCTCGATCGCGCCCCCGGCTGCTGCGCGCTGCTTGCGTGCGAGCCCCGCGGCGTCCATGCCGGAGCACACGTTGGCAAGTGCCCCGCAGCCGTCCTCCTGCACCCCCGCCACCTGCGGGTGAGCCTGCAACGCCGCCACAACCGCCTGGATCGCGCCCGCGGCTGCTGCGCGCTGCTTGCGTGCGAGCCCTGCGGCGTCGCTGCCGCAGCACACGTTGCGCAGCGCCGCACAGCCATGCTCCTGCAAGCCCGCTGCGTGCGAGTGAGCCTGCATCGCCGCCACAACCGCCTCGATCGCGCCCGCGGCTGCTGCGCGCTGGCTGCGTGCGCGCCCTGCGGCGTCGGTGCCGCAGCACACGTTGCGCAGCACCCTGCAGCCTTCCGCCTGCACCTCCGCCTCCTGCGGGTGAGCCTGCAACGCCGCCACAACCGCCTGGATCGCGCCCGCGGCTGCTGCGCGCTGCTTGCGCGCGAGCCCTGCGGCGTCCATGCCGGCGCACACGTTGCGCAGCGCCCAGCAACCCATTTTCTGCACCTCCACCACCTGCGGATGAGCGCGCATCGCCGCCACTATCGCCTCGATCGCGCCCGCCTCCGCCGCAGGTTGCCTGTTCTGCACCTCAATGCACAGATTAGCCAAACGCATGCACGCCGCAACAGCGACGCGGCTGACCGACACGTGCACGCGCAGCGTCGCCACCGCCGCCGCAACGTCCATCGCCTGCACCGCCGCATCGCTCGGCGGCGCGTCGTGCGGCGCGGCGCCAACGCGCTGCCGCACCCGCCGCCCTCCCTCCTCGCCGCCCTCGCCCGCCTCCAGCGCCGCCATGCGCGACCGCAGCTGTGAGTTCTCCGTCCGCAGTTCCGCCACCTCGGTCTGCAGCGGCGCCATCTGGGCCTGCAGCCGCTCGTTCTCCGCACACTGTGCCGCCACTTGGGCTCGCAGCGGCGCCATCATGCGCTGGCACACGGCGAAGGGGCACGTCGCCTCGTGCGCCGCCTTGTCTGCCAGCAGCCCCGACCACGCGCAGCCAGCCTCCGCCGCGGCGCACGCGCGCGGCCGCTGCGGGCAGCCTTGCTCGTGGGCGGCGAGTTCGCCGCGGGTCGTCGCCACCCCGCAGTGCGAACACGCCGCCGGCAGCGCCGCGATCCGCTCCTCGTGGCTTCTGTTTCGGATGGCCTGGCTCAGCGGTCCGAGAGCCATGCGGCACTCGGGGCAGCGGCGCGGGGCTCGCAGGTTGGTGTCGCAGGAGGCGCAGAAGACGTGGCCCTCCCGGCACTGGTGCTGCTGCCCGTCCTGCACCTCAAGACAGACGGGGCACTCCAGGCGCTGGGCGGCCATTTCTTGACTCAGAAAAAAGAAAAATGAACAGATGCCCTGCGAACGCGCACCCCCAGGGCTAGGGCTCTCTTGCCCGCAACCCGATGCCAATCATCCGGCCCGCTGGGTGCGCTTCTGAGCTCCCCGGCCCTGGATGTGCGGTTGATGACTGCACTCCAAGTGCTCCACCAAGTGCCAAAAGGTAAGGTAAGGTAAGGTAAACTTCTCCACACACACGAGGTGGTGGGGCAAGGGGGGGCAACCCTCGCGTCTCCACGTCTGACGACAGGAGCCCCACGGCATTCAAAGTGCAAGGCCCAGTGCGCGTGGGTGAGCGGTGTGTGTGTGTGTGTGTGTGTGTGTGTGTGTGTGTGTGTGTGTGTGTGTGTGTGTGTGTGTGTGTGTGTGTGTGTGTGTGTGTGTGTGTGTCACGTCACTGCATCCTCCGCCGGTTCCTCCCGTCGCCTCTTCTTTGTTCGAATGTTTTTCAATCCATCCTTCACGAAGCCGGTTCCTCCCGTCGGCCATCAGAAAAAAGAATTCTTTTTGGGCTCGGAGTCCACCTGAACCAGCAGCGTGCCGCCCCGGTGAGCCTGGGTCACGTCGATGTCCTCGCCGCAGGCGCACCAGTCGTTGCAGCAAGTTGTGCCGCCGCACTGCCCGGCGAAGACGAGTGTCGTGGCAAGACGCCGACGCCCGGCGCCGGTGGGGCTGACGCTGTAGACGCTGTAGGCGAACGTGCTGCTGGCCTTGTACGCCAAGGAGAAGTCTGACGAGGCTTCGCCCGACGTGTCGCTCTGCTCGATGGTGAAGTTTGAGCTGGAAGAGATCACAGTGACTACCCCGGGCGCAGGCGGCGGCGCGGGGGGCGCGGAAGGGGGTGGGGTGGGCGGTGGAGAGGGCGGCGGCGGCGGCGGCGGCGGCGAGGGCGGCGGCGGTGATGAAGGTGGCGGCGACGGCGGTGGCGGTGAGGGTGGCGGTGGCGAGGGTGGCGGCGGCGAGGGTGCGGCGAGGTGCGCGC